ACGAATTACCTACGCAGTCGACCCAAGGGAAACTCGAGCTCCTGTCGGAAAGGACCAGCACCAAAGGCGGAAGCAAAAAGGCCGGAGACGCCGGTCAGTTAATCTCGCCCATCGGATACGGCGGGCATGGTCATCAGAGGAACTCAGAATCCTGATCTGAACAGCGTAATCGTTTTGCCGTTAGATTTCAGAACAGGTTCAGAAGCAGGACCTTTCCGCGAGATTCGTCTCCATATGTGTGCTCTAGCACGAGCTTGCTGCCACAGAACTCTGCTGCGAGTACGTGTTGGAAAATGCCTTGCGTCGACGCAAGGCTGAAGGGAGAGATTGAGAAGATGAGGAGTCGGATCAACAGACATGGTTCGAAGAGTAGGTTGTTCCTCCTCTGCGCATAAGTCAGATATCCGATCCGCTTCTGGATTATGATCTCTCGTTCAGTAATAATCGATATACGGATGACGCCAGACCCATAATATGAATGTATAATGCTAGAAGAGGTGGACGTGACATTCGCCCTGTGTCAATCGTCCGCCTTTCCGCTGAGCGATCGACGTGAGAACTCATGCTAGCTTCAAGCGTCTTGTCTCTGCCTCATTTTCCCCTAAAGACGGTCCCGAATAAGCCCTCGGCGCGAGCTCAAGCTCTTCGAACTACAAATAGACATCGAGTGAGGAGTAGTAGTTCGTGAAATCCAAAGAGAGGCTTTGTTTCCAGGCGAGTCGAGCCCATTGTTTCCCAGCACAAGTGCTTGGATCGAGGACGCGCTAAGTCGTGTTTGTGCTTTTCTATTTGGTCGATAAAAAAGAGCTTTCTTCTGCGTGCCTTTCTGCGCTCGACAGAGCGTGACCCTAGTCAGTCAGTCAACCGGTCCCAAGGCAAGCTTGCCGACCCTCTGCTCGGGTTCTCGCGACAGCTCGTGAAACAGGATGCGGGCCAGCGGGAAAGAATCGCCGGGGACGGGTATTGTTGTCCTAGACTTTTTCCAGACCCGCATCGATGACTCGCCGCATCAAGAACTTATTTCGAAGACTTCACTCGCTGGCCAACGCCTCTATTTTCTTTGTCTCCCGCCTTTGCTTTATGTTTCTGTTTTATGTTTCTGTCGCTCCCGTGACGGTCCAGATGCCGCCGCTCCAAGAGATACAAAATCAATGGCTCCTCTTGTGTGTTTTGAAACAGCGTTTTCCTCCATACCAGGCGCCTTATCATAGCTGCAAGCATCCCGAGCTGGGCTGAGACTGACTGAGAGAAAAGAGGATTCCTTATGGCACTTGATTGCTCTCACACTCAACCAGTATCATCGCTTCGAGGAATGTCCTGGGTTCTCGCGGAACGGAGTGAGTCCAAAACGCGGAGATGGATCAGAGCCACGATAAGCGGCGATCTGGGTGACCATTGCTGGTCTTCACCCTGGTAATAATCATGGCGACTTTGTTCTCCGCATTCCTTCAGTGACTTGGGGAATCGCGCGTCTCTCCGTCTATGTTTCCCTCGGAGTTCCTCCGAGGAGGAAGGAACTCCGAGCATTTCTTCCATAAGTTCCATCCAGTCTCACTCTAGATCTCGAGGAAGCTTTCCTTCTTTACTTCCTTTGTTCCAGGGATTCATGTATCTATGCATTAGAGGGGGGGACATGACCGTGTGAGTTTAATTTGACAGAACGATGATATCTTTCGGACGGACCCTCGGAAAACTTAGGTGTGCGAGTGATACCCATACGGCACCCGAATCAGAGTTTCTTTCCTGAGCATCCGACGGGTCCGGAATCGAGTTTCCTCGCAGGCTGGAAATGACGTCGGACACTCCGGTACGGGTATAGATGATTCATGGTACGGTCCTCTTCGACAATCCTTCCTTCGAGTGAGTTTTCCAAATTCAATTCTAGACCCATGCCTCGAATTATCGAATCGATGTTCGATTCGAAGCCATCGTTTTGGGCGGGGGCGATCGCAAACAGCGAACGAGGAGACGGACCATCCATCTTATCGATCGGATGCTGAACCCGGTCATGTCGCGAGGACGTAAAAACAACAAACCGGATGACTGTCTGGCTGAATCCCCGGAAAAAAGTCGCGGTGCGGGAGCGTGGAACGACTCCCGCTCCTGTGGCGCGGCATGACGTCTCGATGTGGGTGTGCAGTACATGCCCGACCAGCTGTAGCAAGCATGAAGCTGCGCGCCAGGACGGCAGGCCGTCATTCAGTCGGAGAGCAGCCATGTGCGTATGTGTTTCCGTTCGTTGGTGCCAATGGATCGTGGCGCGGATTACTCCGAGGAAGCCGAAGCTGTAGGTACTGAGCAATCGGCTTCCAGCTGCAGGGCCGACCTGCTCGCCGGGCTACCTCTCCGTCTGGATGATGCGGCACTTCTCAAAGAAGTGGCGGCTTCTGATGGCCGCTGCTATTCGGAACTCTCTGGCAGATGCTGCATTATTCGACGACGCATTTCACGCGTAGGCACCGAACAACAAGCGGGGTTTCGGAAGTCTCCCTACAGCTGCTGCTGGGGGGGAATATTTCTCCGGAGCGGATCGGAATCCTTTATTCCTCTCGATCCTTCAAAGTGTTCACCATCGCTAGAGCTCTGTTTAGCTCGACGACTAAGAGAGATGAAAATGCAGGACCCTCCCACTCGAGGTGAAGAGATGCTAGAAAATACTCATCCATCGATTGCATTGTCAGAGTGAAGGACTCAGGAACGCAAGAATCTCGAACGCCCCGGACGGGTTTCTGGATCCTGAAGTGTTTTCTTGCGACCTAGACAATGCCTACTTCTCCCACATGGACGAAGAAGGCTGTCTGTGAAAGGGCATCTCTAGATGAAAGAGATCGATTGAGCAAGGCAAGGACTCTCCAGCCCTGCAGGCGAGTTATCCGTTTCCTCAACGGTGAATGCCTTCCGATCGGAGCGACTATGAGAAATTGAGCCGTTCCCTTGGAAAAATCACTCATGCTGCAAAAGCGGCTCGACGGCTGCTCTGACGGTAAGGAATTCCGAATAGCCCCTATTTGGATCGATGGACGAGCTCGAGACGATCGTATGATGAAGCGTCGAACTGATGAACCTAATTCATCGTCGACTCGACGGATAACGGCTCTTATTATTTTTGAATTCATCATTCCGATCTAGACTATCCGATCCCAGGGGGACCGATGGACTACACCGAAGCTTCATGAAGTCATCTTCTCGCGGAAGGCGACTCAGCAAGACTCGAAACCCGCAAGGGGATAAGTTACTCTTACTCAGAAGCTCGGACCAAGCGGCGCTACCCGAGGAATTTAATTTCTCGCTTTCGATGGATGACAGCCGAGAGGGATAATTTCACTTTTGGAACGCTCGAAAGATTTCTCGGGAGCCGTCGCTGCTTACAAGTGGAACTCGAGAGCATCGATGCGTCATCGAGCCTCCGAACCTCGAGTGTCGAGTGAAAACAACGCGTTCACAAACTTCTCAAAGTGATCTTCTATCGGAAAAGCTGCTCTGCCAACGAGTCAGCGAGGCAACCGTAGCTCCGTCCGTGCGTCCGTCGGACTCTCCTCGACCGAGCTAGGATCCGACTGAGCATCGGCCCCCTCCCACTTCGGACAAACTTCTCTCTATTTTACGTCGTCGTCGACGGCCGGAGGAAGTGAACGAGAACGGGAGGAGCCGGAGAAGGAGGAACGCCAGATCAGACAACGAAGGACTTGACACGAGTATTTAGCGAAACGTCACGAACATGACCCGCGTCCCATCAGTCACTCATTCACTCGATCGTGTTCCCGTGACTGACATGGCACCCGTCTTCCATGAAATTCTCGTCTCGGGCACCGGCAACCCGCGGAACGTTCACGAGCAGCCAGCGTACGACCGTTATGTCGGCTTCGTCAAGCTCCACGGAACGCTGCAAATCATGGTCTCCAAAGGTTTCCTTTCCGAGCTTATGAAACTCGGGAAGAGCTCCGAGGAAGGGGGGGGGGGGCGACGCAAACAGGATATTCTGATTCGACTCGGGCCCACCCGAGTCTCCACAGAAGCTATCTCATCTGCCAGAGGGAGCGAGTAGTAGAGGAAACATTTTGGTCCGCTTCGTTTTCTTCGCCTGCTCGCCGCGGGAACGGCGCAGCTCCAACAAGGAAAATTCCCACGAATAATGGATGAGTTCCCAATCGTGACCCGGCGATAGCGACTCCGAGAGCCGAAGTTCGGAGCCCTGCCGAGAACATGGAACGAAGAGAGATACATTTTGAAATTCAAGTAGACCTCTCCTCTTCCGGCAGTCGTTGATCAGTCACTACCTGTGAGCTCGCGGAGTCGACCGAGCTACTCTTCTCCGATGGGGGCGCGTGTTTTCTTCAGATTTGTGGAAGACTTGATCCGTGAACATCTACAGCAAGCTCGGGGTAGATAAGCTCGGAACGCAACATCGCCTGACTGGCCCGCGCGAGTATTCAATCCCTCCTTCACCTAACCTATAACAGGAAACACCCACGCCAACCTGGCAAAGGAAAAACTCAATACTTGCTCGACGATATCGATCTGGATAGTTGTTTGGGTTTTTTATTATCAACAACTTTTGCCATTGCTCCGTTTTTACATCACACACGAACAAACAGTTTATGTACATAATATCCAACTTTTGTAGTTTTTACCTTGTTCACAAAAATAAATATCATCCCTCTCGATCTCGGTCCCCCCTCCCCCCTGGCAGAGAATCAAACGAACAGTGTGCTCAGACTGAGTGAGAGTCATTTCACTATCCCTCGTTTCCGAATCCCACGCACCTCCAGCGGCTCCTCGGACTGCCGCATATATTCGTTTATCGATTCTCCTGCTATTAATATTTATAAATATTTATATTATTTATATTTATAATTATTCCCAAGAGTACAAGTAATGCCTTTCAATCATCGGAAGGAATCCGGTCGCTCTCGCTTGGATCGGTGCACTTTTTTCTCCCCCATCGTGTATCGGATCTTGCACGATCGGACCTCGGGGCGTATGACGAGAAAGTCCATAAACTACAGATGGCCTTCATCCCGGTTCGCCAGCGGAGCTTTGTTTTTAGGATGGACAAGTGTTGTGGTTGTAGTTTGCTGCTGGCACGATGGTCCTCCTAAAGCTTGAACTGAAGTAGTGGCCGGTAGAGACAAAGGACACTTGAGAACCTTGGCTCTCTGTGGTTCAGCAAGCGTAAGAAGTTTGGCACGTCGACTACTCCTCTGGAAGGGGACTTCGCCTGGAGAAAGCGCAGTTTCGTAGAGAAAAGCATGACTTGCACTTCCTCGACTCCGGGGCAGACTCATGGAAAACGATCCGCCGTCCACCCACGCCTGGAAAATTACGCAGATTATGAGCGAAAAAATCACCTCTTGCTCGAACGATACCACTGCACCGCGGTTCTCGCGGTTCCGATCTCGTTCACTCCCTACACGGATTTTTACTCGACTGTCAATAAGCCGACTCGGCCGTCCACGATCCCGCCTGGACTCCATACCCTCATCCCCGATCAGAACGTCCTCGCCATGTCCCCTCCGTCTGGGAGGAACAAGTTGGAAATTCGAGCTCAAATCGAAAGAGTGGGCGAAACCTCAGGAGCTGATGCTCCTATACTCACGTAAGGATGCGTGCTCGGTGTGATATCGAACGTAACAGTTTTGATCGAAGGCGTTTTCAGCCCCGACCCGGTCGCGCTGGAGGCGTTCTGCTGGCCCTGACATTTTATCGGAATCGTAGCCATGTGTTGGAAGGACAACGAGGACGGCAGGGAATTTCTAGGTTTGTGGTTGGAGAAATCCCATGAATCCCGCTTCAAACGCGAGTTCGTTGAGCTTGATGTGCCTCCGTCGGGCTTGAAGAGCTGCGAATTACACGACGGGGACCGTCGGATGAAACTGCTCTCCGCCGCCGTCTTCACAGGACTGGATATGATTTGAGTCTCTGAGGAAGGAACATAGCTCAGATCGCTATCGACGATAGCTGTCCGATTTAGATCCTGGAACGAGGGTCTCTGCCGAATGGGGACCGCATGGGGAGAGAGAGGGGGAGAAAGAGAGCGAGAAAGAGAGAGCGGGAGGGGGAACAGAGAGAGCGTTGCGGACAATTCGGGCATGCTGTACCTAACCCTACCTGATAGAATGTCGGGGCACTTTTTATCTTCTTCGTTATCACTGAAGCTGCGGAAGTCCGTGATTCCCGTCTGATCCTTGTTGGACTCCCTCAGGGGTATGGACGGGTCGTCATCGTCTTTCTCCGCATCGGTGTGGGAATCTTGAATCGAAAGGATCGGAATCTTAATATACATCTTCCCGAATGATTAAATACATCACGCAACGTTTTCCCTCCGACCCGACTGAATAATTGATGTCGTAATCGATGTCGGTCCGCCCCTGGAGCGTTTCGGAGTTCATACTCGGTGACGCCTCTTGTCCGTTGCCTATTCGAACCATAAAATGGACGCTTGGGACTCACCTTTGCTTTCATTCTTCTTGAACATATTATGACCGAAGCCTGATGTCCTCCTGATCAGTATGACAACTAAAAAGGTCCCCAAGGCCAGCGAGGAGAGTGCGGCGGTGATCGCGAAGGCTATGAGTGCTGGACTGTTGTTCAAACTCAGTCGACCATCGATATAGTCGAATATGAAACCTCCTTTAGAAGACAAACTCAAAGGTCTCGGAATCGTAGAAGCGACGAGAATCGTCGGTTGGCTTGTGCCCCTCTCGTTCGACGCGTAAATCGTGCACACGTACGGAGTCGAGGGAGACAGACCGGTGGCTTGGAGACTCGGCGGGGTCGACGAAGAGCTGAGGTTCGCGATCAGTACGCGATTCTGGTTGGCTGAATCGTGGACTTCCATATGGAACATTTGACCGCCTTCGGAGCCTCCGTCGTAGCCCTCGAGGCACGAGATCGTTAACGACTCCTCCGTCTGATTGATCACGCTGCAGTTATGTACAGGACCCGGAGGACCAGCGGCTATCAGCGTGAATACGCAGGGATCCTTCTGCCGACCCATTTGATTCTTGCCCCAGCATATCACAGGTCCGTAGTCGTCTTCAGACTTCGGTACTATCGTCAGCCAGCTGCGTGTGCCCTCCGTCTCGACGAAATAACTCGTGTCTCTAGCAGCTGCCGCTACCGCTGCATCTTCCTCTACCACGGAAAATCCGTTCGTCGATTGTGCTGGGGAGGTCACAAAGTTCTGAGCGGAAATGCCGTATTTCATTTTTTTCGTTTTCCACTTGATGGTCACTTCCTCGGGATCGGCTTCGAGCTCGCAACTTATGCGCACGGGCTCGTTCCTCGCCGCCCCGTAAACCTGTTTCAGACCCGGCTTGCAAATGGGCTCGTCTGTGGGCGGGAGAAGGTTTTTAGAGAACGGACCCATTCCGACTCATAGACCCGAGACCCTACGGGACTCGCCTCGCACGGAAGAATAAAATTGGACTCACATCGAACCCTGAGGTGGAACGGCTCACTCTCCCCGGTTCCTTCGGCGTTTGTTCCTGTACACACGTAGTGGCCCCGGTTGTGCCTGTGTGTATGTGTGTGAATAAGTTATATCGAAAGCTTAGCTACACATCGTGACCGGATGTGAATATTTCCTTTGTCCCAGGAGCGCTCCCAGGAGAAATTAGCGAGGTGCTTGAAAATCGAAACTAAGGTGAAGTCGGGAACTCGATGTGACGTTATACATAGCTCTCGGCGACTTTCGTCAGAACGGATTTTCTCCGTTCTCTTCCCCCCGCCGATGACGACGTAATTCGGAGCAATGCGCTCCATGTTTTAAATTGTTCCGTACGTTCGTAGAATACGGGCGTAGGCTCCCTACGTGCCCACCACATACGCAGCAGTCAAAATCGTACTACGTCCAGTGGAACGTCACGTCGCCGCCGTCGCTCCTCACGAGACGTCGGGTGATACTCGTTTATTTCCGAGCGATCGTATGGAAAGGGGAGGAAAACAAAGAGATAGCGACGGCGGCGATGACGGAGGCCGCTGCAGCGAGCGCCGTCGAGTTCGAACTCCGACGTCGAGGTCGTCTCTTGTCTTGTCCTCGGAGTGAGCACATACCCACTCGGTGGAATGTAAGTACATACCTGGTGACATTTTGGAGTACCAGGGATAGCTCGCTGATCACAATCCCTCGAGATGTGTCCGTGATGAGTTCCGTTCCTTCGTATTTCCAACCCATTTCGATGAGTTGAGGGTTGGTTCTGACGTCACATTCAAGAATGACATCGCTACCTTCGCGGATGTGTGAGTGTCGGAGCTTCTTCCCCAGTCTGACGACCAGCTGAGGCACGTCTGAAACCAACCGTCCGGATTAACGAATACTTCGAATTCTACCGACCGTCACCCGGTCCGTTAGCTCGCGCTGCGTCGTCGCACAGAAACGACTATCAACACTTGACTACTGAATCGTTGACGCCTACGGGCTTCTTTTTTTCCTCTTCCCCCTAATCCCTTCTTCCTTCCGACGTTCCTTCCTTTCCATTAGATTCAAGCTATTCCTTTCGCACGCCTCTCTGAGTGCTACTGCTGCTGCAGGTCTACTAAAAGGATCTCGGAGAAGTCACTAGATTATCGCGCATCCCTCCCGCCCAGCGAGCGACTCTTTGTGTCTAGATTACGTTACAATCGAATCCGTCCGACAGACTTCCAATAACTCCTCCGAGTGATTTATTCGCTAATCATGCGCCCCGAACATCCAGGAAAACAGGACGGCAGAGAAGTCGGTAGAGGTCGGAGGGAATCGGATATTGGGATTGTTATTCCTGAATACGGCTCGAGAGGCGGGAGGTGTTTGTATATTCCTGGATTACCATCTGTCGAGCCTATTCGCGGGTCTACCGTTTCAAGCGGAAGGGCCACGCGGCGGGACAGCCACGTCTTTCGAAAAATAAATGTCATCTGACCGCTTCACTGGTTTGGCCACGGTCGTTTAACTCAGCCCTGAGCGGTCGATGCAGCCGGCCCACTACTCGATAATATTGGGATCGAATATCGGGAGCGTTTCCATGGTTTTAGCGAGTAAGAAGCTGTTTCATACACGCCTCCGATATGAAGCCCTTTACTCGATCAGAGGCGCGTTGATGTATCATTCATGATCTTACCCTACACAGCTCGATAGGGTCGATGAGTCTATCTGGGATAAGAAAGTCGTGACCTAAACTCGAGCGGTCAGTTGATAAGACGTTTACTCATCTGAGTCCGGAGAAAAAAAGCGAGAAGATTCAACGACAGGTGAGCTTTCACATACCGGCTCCAAATTCCGGGAATACCAGGCCTGTCGGGAAAACGCGTAACCCGAGCAATGGCACCCGAAGACCTAACATACTTGACCAGGGGATGGCAAGACGGTCTTGGTCGGCGAGGCAGAAGGAACTCGAAACCGAGACGGAGTTTGAAGAACACTCCGGATTTATCGTGACAAGGGACGAGAAGTGGCCGAGCGGCCAGTTGGTCGGGAGGGATGTGGGCCTTTCGGGCAGACCGACAGACGGACGGACGGTCGGTCGGACGGAGAAATGAAGAAAGTTTCGCTCGCAGAGGTGACGGGTGGTTCTCTGAGTTAGCCGTCTGAAATTCCGACACCCTTTGCCCTTCCCCTCCCCTAATAAAGCCCGAGATTAATTACCCGTCAGAGATCCGGCTCGCGCCACCCGTTTCACCAAATTTTCTCCCGCGTGTGGCCTTCGTTTCAGCGGAAGGAATTATTCGCATCCGGTTCGCGGTGTCAAGAGTAATAAATCCATATCGCTCTATTTTCATGCGAATGTTCTCGCTCCCAGCATACGACGACGCTTGTCATCCGGACTAGGCGAGCGTAGGAGATGGGCCATGCACGAGGGAGAGGAACCATCGGTCCACTAATATAAACCTATTGCGATATAACCTGCGTAGTGACCGAGCTACGAGCTGACCGGGCGAAGGAATAGCGAGGCAGCTGGGCAAGCAACTCACGAATTGTACTTACATTGCACCTCGAGTGTGATACCGTCCGTTATAGCGTTCCCGTGCCTCCCATGATAATCGTGGTTTATAGACGGAGGCATCGCAGGGTTATCGGCCCGGCACGTAAGTTGTTTCCCGTCGTCTTCCGGACGCGGTATCAGCTCGATAGTTGAGGTATGCCAGGTGCCGATCGATGAATTGTTTGAGCCGCTGCTGCTGCTGTTCTGCAAGCTGGTGGAACTCAGCCGTTCTCCACCTTTGAACCATTGGATAACGGCCGGCGGTCGAGAACCCGATGACGAGCAATGGAACGTTACCGCCGCTCCGGCGGAGAGAACGCTCGAAGCCTCCGTGGAGATCCAGACGCGTGAAGGTCGGACTGAAAGTTTCTCCTTCATTAATGATATAGAACCGACTCGAGATCACTGATGGCGGCGGGAATGATTAAGAACCCGAGCGGCCGGCCGACGGTGGCGGTCCACCGAGTAGCTGCGGAGGGTTCCGCCATGCCGAAGGTCAAGGAAACTCACAATATATGTCCAACGTGACCGAACTGGTCAGGGGCTGTGATATGTTGTTGTTCGATACGACGCACGTGAACGTAACAAGAAGGTTCTCGTGGCCCAGTGACGGGAAAACTAAATCGCTCTCGTGTTCGGCGGACTGCAGGAATTCCATTCCGCTCCTCAACGTGGAAAAGTCCTGAGGGTTTTCTGGACTTTTCGGCTGCGTCTGCGGAACGATGGCACCTCGATACCAGCCGACGGTTGAAGACGGATTCCCTGAAGGAACGAATTCGAATGTGTTTCCATCCAAGCTTCCTGATATTTAAAGAGCGAGAGAGGGAGAAAGTCGGCGAGCGAGGAAGGTCCGAGACGGCGCACGAGAGAGACAACCGTAAAATTGTCGTTTGAGTCCAGAACGGAAAGAACCGGGAAAGCGGTGAATGAAGAAGCTGGAGAATAACGAACGCAATTACCTCCGTGAGCTTGGCACTTAAGGACGAGTTTGTCACCGCCGCTATACGGCCCGATCACAGCGTTATTTTGCAAAAGCGTTCCACGTTGGTCCGTGACTGTCATGGTGCGCGGTGGAACTGAAATATGGCGGGCGCAAAAACTTCTCTTAGGGATTCCATTAATTTTCCTTTCGAAGACTAGGAGGGATGTCCTGTTTCCAGTTTCTAGGTTTCATTATGTCCAGAGACGTGTCGAACGGCGGCACAAATGTTATCATTATTATTCTGCAAGCGGTGGGGGCTGTTGTCGTCGACGAATGCGACGTGTGACGAAAGTATTATTTCCTTTCGAACAATAGAATCCCTTCCGGAGCAAAGGGACCACCACCTACCGATAACTTTCAGCTGCACTTCGTAGTTGCGCGTTCGGGCTCTCTTGAAATCAACCCGACACCGGTACAGGGCTTCGTCCTGTTTCTCGAGGTCTCTCAATTCCAAAAGGGATGTTGGGGTATTAGCGGAGGCTTCACTGAGAACGTCATCGTTAGTCCGTTTGAAACCTAATCCAGACGAAATGCCGGCAGCTGTAGTTGCAGCTGCCGCCGCCGCAGTCTTGAGGTAAGCCCGTCCGTTCAACCAATATACCGGTGAGTGGTGAGCGTTTCTCAGAGTCGTCTTCCTGGAGTCCAGCGAATAGATAGGGGTTGTCGAGTCATCCTTGTACCTGTCAAAATAATGAATTCAGTGAGCATCGGGGACTTGGCGAAGTCGGGTGAATACCTCATTAGGAAAGGCAGGGTCGAGAGAACTTGGACTCTGCCGCAATCGGAGGTGATATCTTCTCTATGGGATATAAACGTCGGATCCCGTCTCGTTCGTCTGGGGAACAGACAGCAACGAATCCGACTGCGATCCCTTGTTCCCCGTTCTCTGCGCACGATTCGCCCGTACAGCGGAGTTAAATGAAGGACAATCTAATTCTCATGCAACTTCAACTCAGAGTTAGCGAGCTAGTCGCCTCGGTTCCAGTACTATGTGAGCTCAAGGTTCTGAGTGGTTCCTCGCCCCGAGCGTTATGCTTCGGAGATGGGGTGAACGATTGCTCCTCGGGTCGGGAAACGGGAACCGGTGGTCCTCAAATACATATTCCTGGCGCGGAATGAGACGGATTTCATCATATCACGCTCTATACCGAACCACTGATTGTGAAAGCGAAACATCGTATTGGGTCATATGGAGACTGCACGCATTTCAGAGCTGTCTATTTTAATTTTTGCCGAGCGCGTGACAGAATTCGTATTTAGTGAACTCTATTCGGAATCCCTATCCTCATATTGGAATGCTCGATTGACGGAAAGAGAATTCGCAATCGATACCAGACGTCTCTCGTTTTCTGACACTTTGACACGGGGGGATGAACGAGAACCCGTAGCGTGAGTGCTCTGAATGGATTGCCTTCGATTAATATGTGATACATGAAGTCGGAAAATTCTTCCGGCTTCAATCTCTTACAAGGGATACTCAGTATCGCTGGAACGTGTCGTCGAGAGCGTATTCGAGACCGACAGCCCTTCATGTCTGAGGAAATTGGAATCGATTGGAACCCGGCATCCAGGTACGGGCCCGGGGTCCGCATTGCCAGAAAGACACTTGAGTTCCTAATGCATAGGTTCGACTGCGGTTAATTCCGTTCGGGCAGTTTACCCTTTAGATTGCTTGGTATTTGCTCTCCAGACAGCTCATGCGAGCTCACGGGGTAGAAGCGAAAAAAATTGCGCCTGACAATGAGCCGGCCAAGGAAATTCCTTGCCGATCGTCTCGCTGATGATGAGGCAAGGTTTGGGAGGAAGAATGTCGATAGAATGAGTCTCGATAAGTTATGCTCCACTCGGATTCGTCAGGAGCGCTTTTCGTTCTATGTATGTCCCCTAGTTGCCATCTGAGTTTCGATGGAGACACGCTGGACTAGTTCGCCCACAAGCATACTGTGGAGAGAACCCCTTCGCCACCTGGCGAGCTTTCTGAGTGCACTGGGTGTAAGTATTCGCTTTGGTCAGAAACTTCTTGAAATCCACTTAGAAAATTTACTTACCACAACACAAGCGAAACTTCGTCCTCTGTTGAGTTGGGTTGTATATTACAGGGAAGACCAACGCGGCCACCTAGAACGCCGATCACCATCACACGCGGCTCTGCAAGCAAGTCACGCATGTCAGTCTTTCGTTAGTCAATCGAATGGCCGCTGTTCTGTTGCGTTGACCGGCAAGCCGGACAAGTGAATTATTCATATGACAGCACGTGCGAACGAATAAGAATGAGCAGCTGCTACTTTGCAAGAAAACAGCTCTCATCGTCTGATAATTGTCTCCTACCGCACCCGGAATCGATTCAGTCAATTCAGCCCGCTCCTCCATTCCATGCCGAATAGCCGACCCGTGGATATAATGTTCTAATGTTTGACAATTTTCGAAGGATTAATCATTTTCGCCTCTTTTCCATGCGGAGAACCCGTCGCCCCGGCCGGATTTGCTTCCTCAACCGGACTAGACGACTTGGTCAGGAATTTCCGCAAAATCAACCGCACACGTTAGCGTAAGCGGTATTACGTCGACAGCGGCGGCACTTTAACGAGCTTTCAAACTCAAATTTTCTAGCGAGGATCCTCCCAGCTCGTAAAAACTTCACGCTGAGAGCGGCTCTTCGGACAAATTCCGTTTTCGCCTTTTTGTCAAGCCACGACTCTGCCGCATGTTTTGGTGACAACGGCTGCCAACGCGCGGGAGCTGTCCGTGTAGCTCATGATGATGGTATGTTTGTTGTCACCTTAGGTAGCTCGCTATATGTGCGTCACTGTCTCCGATTCGCCGGCCCGTCAGCAGAGCAGCGGCTTAGGCAGCACCTCCACAGCCGAGAACTGCTTCAATCACAAGTCACAGCAGTGCAAGGGGACTAGACAGAATCGTCTTTGTTCAATGTGGCCAACACATCGACCATTGTGCCGAGGTTTATTGGACTTTTCGAACTGACGGCTATATTGTGACTAAAGCGACCGGCCCGGTCGATCGCTCGGTTCGGCGCTCGAATAACAGGCCAGTGCCGACAGCAGTAGTGAAAAGGGAGGATCCTCCTGCGTCGGACTGGAATAGTTGTTGTCATCGAAGATTTCGTTTTCGACTGGGTAGTGATGTCGATCGGTGCTTTCGCGGACTGGCTACGTAGGCAGGGTCGCACAGAAATACAGCTCTGGATCGGAGCCTCAAGGCGCGCAAAATACGCTGGAATGCTCCAACGATTCCCTCAAAGCTCATCCTGAATATTCGAAAGATCACACAACATACGCGATATTGATGCTCGCCGGGGGACTGGTTGAGGTTGTTGCGACGCAATTTATGCGGTAATTTATTCGACTGAAGACAACGTTCGGCGAGGCAAGCCTGCGCCTTTTTGTCAATCTAAGAACCTTGGCTCGTGTCATCACGTTGGAACAACAGACAAGCCATCACGCTCCGTCGAGCCTTCCGCTGCAAACGAAGTGTGGATAGATGTCCTCGCCGTCGTGGATGTTGTGAAACTATCCGAGCAAAATCTCGGAGACGCTCCACCACGGCCGCAGCTTCCGGAATCATTGATTCCGAACTCGGATGGAAACAGGAGCAGACTGAGACGAGCGGAGGAACTCTGACCCTCCGATGCTATGTTGGCTCCGTAGAGATCTCTGAGGCGAGAAAGATGGCCTCAATATTCCAGGGATTTCTCGGTAATTGAAGTCGTAGGCGCGCGAAATCGAAGCGGCTGAAGCCTTACGGCTCGGAATTCCGAGACATAATTTCGATTTGGCGATCCAACTCCATATCTCGGAACGACATCCGTGAGCGGGATACAAGGAATCATTCTCTCGTGACATCATGGAGAAGTTCAGCGGAGCGATGAAACTGGAAGGAGGCCCCGGCCGGGGGATCCTCGCGGGTCCGAACATGCATGCGAGCATCTCAGTCCGAACTCTCGAATCTTGAATTGTGAAAATTTAGGGCTCGATTTCATGGGACCGATTTACGTACACATTCTTGTGACTGTTCGTATTTTCGCCATATGCCCGTGTAACGACCGTGATTGATCATGGTTTCTCCGTGAGAGAGAATAGACGTCTCAGATCTCGACGGGATCGATTCCGTGATCCATGGAAGGTCCTCCACCGAGAATAGCTCGAGGAAGGAGTGGAGAGTGTTTCCGCGGATAAAAGTACGCCCGGAGTAATGTAGTCATGCAACATACCGATGATGGAAACATATTCTGGATCAGGGCGAGCTCCTTGTATCGATTCTCGAACAACGGACGAAGATATTGAGCAGATAAGAATGCCACGATGCGTCAAACTCTTTCTCGCGAAATCGGAATAAGACAGAGTCATGAGTCATGATATCGATCTAGAATTGGAGCCCGGTCAGTGTTACATCCCAGCCGCTCTCGGACATCGGCAGGGGAGAGAGTGCATGCTCTCATCGGAATCATGATCGAGCACGGAAAGTTCGATCAACTACATCTACAGAACAGGGAGTGTCACGTGAGAGGTTGCCGGGAAAAAAGGTCCGAGGGATTTCGCTATCAAGCAATTTCGGAAACGGAGCTCTCATCTTCCTCTTGTCGGGGATCCTGGAAAGATCTAGGAGGCTGAACCGGTTCCCCGAGTCGGAGTCGATTCTTCTGTATTCCACACTCCATTTCTCCATCGTAACCACGGCCGCCGACGTCTTCGTCGCCTTCGTTGCCGTGGTCGCTGAGCCCCGTCTTGTTCCACGTCGTCGTGACTGCGTTCCACCTGTTTTCTTTCGGCTGGGACTTCTGTGAGCCTAACTAGTGACGGCATCTGCCACTCCAATTTTATTTAGTCGACTGAAGGGCTCGTTGGCCGAGCGGCTCAACACGGGTGTATCGAGTCGAGTCCGAACTCCGACTGAATCATTGCAATGAGCTCGGGAGGACAACGATAGCATAATTGTTCGAACTATTCGGTTGCCAATTAATGCAGTCGGGGCATCAGGTTCGGTTAGGAACACGTCTCGGAGACAGGCTTTAATGAGGTCATCGTGACTGCCTCCGCCGTTGAACCGAGCCAGGAGCTCCAAATCAATGGGCCTGCGGTCTTCGGAATCGTCTCTGGGGTGACAATACATTTTTTCATTTTCCGGACACTCTCCGGGGGTCTCTCTCCTTGATAGGTTCCATTCCTTTCTCCCCGTCTATTTTGAGGACGTTTCCGCTACCCGACCAGCCAGGTCAGTGTCCCATCACAAGCGAAAAGAATCTCCACGGGGTTTGAAGAAACGGAATCCTAATCATGAGCATGTCTCCATTTCTGGGGGCGAATCTCGCCACACGATCGCTCCGAGGCGGTCCTGCTTTTTTTCCTGCTCTTCCTCGTGCCGGGCTCCCTTCCCTGGCTAGCAAATAAAGATATCCATCCATGATGCCACTCGGGAGGGTTTGCTACTCTCGCGTACACAATAGTCTGATATGCAGATAAGGTGATATGATACACGACTGGCAGGAGCTCGCAGGAAGCTCATTGTTTAGGCAGGCAGCCAGATCGTTTCTGGTTCCGTAGAGTGAGGGAAGTGGCCAGAGCGTCTCGGACGAAACCAAGCCTGACCCGGTTACGAATGTGCCCTGGAGAATAGAGAAACCAAGACTCCAATCATAAGTGGGGGTGAGGGTAGACGACCGCGGTAAGCCGCCCACATCCGCGATGTGCATCTGAGTGAGGGTTCCGTGGCTCCTGAACTCGTCCGTGCCGTCAGCCAGAGCAAGATCGTTCTCGATCGACGTCCGCACCATTCTGTTCAAACAGGGAAGGCGCAATTCGTTCAGAAGCCTCCATGCTCGAGCATCCCCGACAGCCTCGTTTTCTTTCATGTCTGCGTCTTTCCCTGGCACAACTCAGTCAGTCAAAATGAAGGGAATGAACCGGGTGAGGAACGAGTAAAGGTCGATTGCCCTCGAAGCTATTAGGATACTGTAGTTTTCTCCAATGAGAGGATGAAGTAACGATACGACGATGAGGAAAATCGCAGGGAGCTGCATTCTAATTCCTCTCGGCGGGGGGATTCTTGCACTACAAGGGTGCGTATACAGAAGGGAAGAATAACACGGGATCTTAAGGTTAGTCCGAGAAAATGATGGCGAGTCGCAAGTCGAGTCGATAATATTTTTACCTTCATCATCAAAATAGTTCGAATAGGAATAGCTTTTGTCGTCCGATACGTTCGAAGGGTCGTCCATGGTCGATTCGTCAGACGGGCCACTCGCCAGGGCTGTCATGGAGGCTGCAAACGTAAACTTAGAATTAAAATCAAACGGAATAAATTAAAAGAAGGCTCGAGGAATTGATTATTATGATCGAGCGCTACAGAAACTAAAATTTCATTGAGTTCACTGGGAGAAACGAAAATTCCATTGAGTTTACTTGGAGAAACGAATGAAGGAATTCAGGGCCTCCACATTCGCAAAAAGGCTCGAATTCAAAATTCGAACAAAATTGATAAATAAAAATAAAATAAAGAAATAAATGAATGAAAAAAACGTGCCGACAGAGAAATTTCCGAACGATTAGATACATAAAGCTCAAAAATTTCACGGCTCCTCGCCCGCGTCGTACAGGGGACGATGATCAATTATACCGCGACTTTTCCGAGATTCTGCTGAGCGTTGTACCAAAATTGGCATCCTCGGGCGATAAGCTTTGATACGAATAATTGCGCCAGGGCTCGGTCATTTCGACGGAGGGAACCGCGAAAATGCCTAATGGTTGTGAATGGGAATTCTGATGTGACTTTCCGCTCGGAGCCGAAGTTGGCCCTACAGAACGAATACGCTATGATTTCCCTCCTTGTAATCACCTAGTTCTTTATTTAAATTTCGAGCGCGTTCCCTTGCTGACCTTGAGCCCTGGCGTAATCTGAGCGTAATGCTCCGGGGATGGGCGATTATTCGAGGAAGCGGAGCTCGCTCCAACTCTCTCTGACGTGCGACGCAGAATGATTCACGACCGGTACCGGCTAATCGGCGAGCTCCTAAGTCAGTGAGTCGTTCACTCGGTCGGTCGGTCAATCTGGATTCCCGTCGAGTCGCTGAAGCCGTGACCTCGGTTTCGATTCCTGGTCAGAACATACACAGAGATCCTTTGGGACCCTACGAGTTACTTCATCCCTTGAAGCGCCGTAATAAGTCGAGCGATCGAGGTGCTGGACCTAAACCGATTGTGGAAGGATCCGCAGTCCTCACAGAGGTCCGCACGATCCGCCAGCGGTCGCTCTCGCGGTATTTGTCTCGCGATCGGGAGGACTCCCGAGGAAATTCACGGCACGCTCTAGCTTGGTCAGTCGATCGGTCCTGACCTCAGTCATTCGCTCCACGTCTTTCGGGAGATTCAGAGCGTCACATTCGTGCTTATAAGGAAGAGATCAAGCATTTACAGAGAACTCGATATCATCCGCTCTCTCGCGGCGGCGGTGGACTAGATTGGCATTGTAGTGCATGACCCTGCCCCCTGCCGTTTCGCACATCCGAAGAGCTTCTGTTCAATTTTTTCCCGAGCGGTCGGCTGTATCGAAATCCTTTTCTGCGTACAACGAATTTGAACTGGACCTGTGCGCGCCATAATTGAACCCAATAATTCGCTCCCTGAGGGCGTGAACCCTGACCCGGGCGTTGGGGTTTGACTCGTGCCAGAACGGCGGAGCTCGTCACGGTTTTCCTTTCGGTCATTTCCTCGTCCATTGCCTGTCCCTCAGGGGTTTCCAAATTCGATCCACGCAGCTTGGTGGGTTCTGATCGTCGTACCCTACGCTGCAGCGCAAAATGCCTCTAATTCGGGAGATCGGCATAATTTGCGAGCGATGCAAAAACGACTTCTATCACAATGACGAATGTCAGCCAATAAAGGCTCGGGTGGCATGCTCCGACCCAGGCATGACAATTACAGTTGAACAGCTGTGTTGCGACCAAAAAAAAATAATGATTACATCAATGTGGGGCAAGCAAAGCGGCGCGGGTTGTCGAACGCTTCGCTGATTTTTTTCGGTCGTCTCTGTTTATTTTGCACGCATGACAACATGACCGTATGCGGGATGCCGTTCCTCCTCCGCCTCGCGAATGTATGCGATCCACAAACAGAGTCAACCGCAATCATATCACTGGCGATCTGTTTCCCATCTAAGTGAGACTATCTCGGATTGCCACAATTGGCACTCACATTACTGTTTTTCCTGCTCCCGGGCGGCATTTGATCATGATTCAATCGACTTCGACTCCTCACAGCTCATTTGCCGGCTTTGATTGTTCGGGACGTTTCATGCTCTCTGAGACCAACGACGCGACATCGAGGTATTCCTAATTTGGGTATCAAGTCGAATCAAGACGAGATATCGCGGAATGCAAACGCGGCTCGTGAGCCATGACTTCTCTCCAAGAGGACTCGGAGAGATGAGTACTGTCACGAAAAAAATCGTCCGCAAGCACCATGTAAAGCCCCGAGGAAATTCGATCCCAGACTACGATTCCTGAATTGCGAGTATTCTAAGACAGGTCCTATCCGCGGATAGTCGGCTGGGATGTTGTCCTCGCAATTTCGCGAGTAGGAATATCAGTGACTACTAGACCACGGTGTTATTCCGGAATGTTGTTCCGCTGGATATGGGGTGTCTCCGGAATATCGCGAAGAGCGGAGCCGCACACCGTAGTTCTCGACCGCCGCACCGCTCGTGCTCAAACAAATACAAAGTTATTCACCTAAGGAAGTTTCGCGAATTCCAGGTACCGGCGCTTAGCTGCAACCACTCGGGGTGGGGAATGGAAGACCAAAGGAACTTCCCAGGTTGCGAAGTCGCATCAGCGCATCTCAGGAATGATCTCGTGATATTCCTCTGGGCACCAAAATATGGAACGAAAATTGGAATATGACCTCCCGTGACCGAGTCACGATGCGACTCACTGCGGTCTGCTTTCCCGATCGCAACCTCTCCTGATTCCTGTCGGGAGTCGTTTTCTTCCCCGTTCCTTCCTTAGACTCGCTTTGCGGGGAAGTGTCCTTTTCCGAACGAGACCTGAACGTTTCACTCGTTCGTCGTCTGTCCCGAGCCCGAAATCGAGTCAAGAGATTTTCTGCATGGAGAGAGCCCCTAGAAGATGTAGAAAATGGCCCGGACGACGCGTATACGCAGGGCACGAGCATGGCATCGAGTCCTTTAGAGAGATAGAAAGGGAAACGAACATTTTCAATGGCCGGCTGAGGCGCTTCGCACGAACGGGCAAGTGTGAGCGCTGTCCAGGGTAATGCATCACCTAAGGACACGTGTTGGGCAAGAGCGAACTCAGTTCAGAATCAGCGTTACCGTCAAAGCGGAGCACGCAAAAAACGTCTTGTAATCCTGCAGAGAGGCGTGCAGACGGCAGACACTCTTCTGAGTTACGTGGATGACATGGGTTCTGCGACGACGACGGAAGCGCACTTGAATGGAAATGGTGTCCCATCCGCTCACCGTCGGTCGGTCACAATGGTGGCGGAGGCACGATGGTGAGACCACGGTCAGAAACCCGAGCCATTAGTCGGTATGTACTTGGCAGGGGCAATTAAGCGAGAGAAGAGAGCAACTCACCGATCGGATCAGTGTTAGGCCAGAAGAAGAATCTTTCTCTCTGCAGCACGGAAACTTATCGAAGCGAGTCCGACCGCCGAATTCAGCTCGCTCAAGGCGAGTCGGAGCGCCAACAGCGAACTTGAGGTAGAAGTGGCCGATTGGCGAAAAACTTTCCTTCGCTCCACTAACAATACCTCATTAGAAAGAGTAGCGCCAGCAAGAGATGAGGGGCGAGCCCCGAGCTCACAGCGAGGGTAAACAGGGCACAGAGGCCCTTTGCCAGTTGTGGCAAAACTCGACGGTCGAAGCCTCATGAACGATAAGCGAGACAGGTCATTATGGAAAATATTTTTTTCCCGCTTGGCTTTCGATCTCGCACTCGGGTCCCCTCGAGCCGACAGCGGATATTCCCCTTTGCGCAGACGATGGGGAGGGAACGTTTTGCTTTTTGGGTCGAACCAGGGCCGACGCAATTTTTAGCAGAGCTCGACAGGGCCCGCGGGCGGGGAGCATAGTGTGTCTTCGGCTGAATAATTCCAGATTGGCCTAACAACCGCTCATTCCTCTCGAGCACCTCTACTCCGACGAAGGAGTCTCGGGACTCGCTTGGCGGCCACGGTGGAGCCCCGACGCAAGAGCTTCTGGCAAGCGCATAATAATTCTCGGCGTGCTGCAGGCTGAGAAGTTCGTTTGTTGGCGCCCGGAAAAACGACATCGGAACGAGATTGGGTCCCTTAATGTGCTTTCTCTCTCATGTTTCCACAGTTTTACCCTGTCGGGGAACGCCTAGAATTCCCGACCCTGTATTTTGCTACCGGCTTGCTTGCCTACCCGCTTGTTCTTTTACTCCGTCTCGTCCTTTCCTTGTCGTGCTGCTACTGCCGTCAAATAGAGTTACGGACCATGGGGCAGAACGAATCGGATTTCGCCTGCGACTCGAAGCGCTAGAGGCCTCTATTTGAACTGGAGCTCGCCTTCGCTCTCTCATACTTAGTCTGCGAATTATAAGCTCCAGTTGCCTTGCCTGGCTCCACTCACAGAGTCATTTAGTCTGTCACATAATATTCACTGTAACGGTCGGTGCCGGACACTTTCGCTCACGTGTCGGAAACGAGCCCAAATGAAATAACTTCCCGCCGCGGAGACGTCAAAGAGAGAAAAAAGCTGAGATGACTTCCCGGACAAAACGCGCGTACTAGATGGAATATAAGCGAAATCGAGTCACTCCTGCTTTTGCGCCTAGATTTCCCACACAGTGTTCGAAAGAAGGACCGTGTGACCCTAAATGGAAAAGCAGTGTGAGTTGCCCGCCCTAAGGTGAGCCTCCCGTAGCCTCTCTCCCTCTAGCTGCGTTTGGAGGAGAGGGGGGGGGGAAGGTTTTCTTATCCTGAGTCCTGGGGAACCTCAGACTCGTCTCGAGATCATCGCCTTGCATCGACGACGCATCGGAACTCTGAGAATCCCGATGCACGCCAGCAGACTTCCCTCCCTCCGAATCCTCAGGGGAAGCAGTGATTCTTCCCTTTGAGGGTGAGCTTCACTGCTCCCCCTGAGGCTCGGGGGAGTGACGAACCCCTGAAAACTGTGAGCTCACTACTACTTCTCCTCATTAATGTCGAGACACTCCGGAACCCCCAATCTGAGGACGATGACTGTCCACATCTTCTTTTCCAATCCATTTCCACCTACGATTTCTCTGGATTGAGACCGAGGCACCCAGTCTTTCACAATTACGGAAGTTTGGCGAATTGAGTTCCCTCACTGTCCACGAACAAGATCGGAATCGATAAAATACCATCCGACGTGCATTGGATCGTTCCGTGTTCGAACCGGAGTTGCATTCGACATTCTCGTAATCGGTCGGTGTCACACTCTCATCGGTTAGAAACACGACCTGTCTCCGATAATAATTCTACACTGTCAGACGGATCCGAAGAGAACCGTGTAGGATGCAGATAAGCCCTAATTGAAGATTCATACAGTAATGCCCCAAGCGGGGATCTTGCTCTTATCGGACGAACAAACGACCGACTCGGCGGACGTAGAGCTAAATTGTGAGTCCGTAATTTGTCACGAAGCGCGTCATTCATTCGCGCATAGTCTTATCGGAGATGCGCGTCTGGTTGGCGACGCGATTCTGGTCGGATCCGTTTCCGTCAGGTTCTTCTTCTTCTCTGTCTTCCTGCGGCGGTCCTTAGCGTTCCTCGAAACCCGAAATCGGAATTCATTCTCTCCTCGGTGTTTTCGAGCCATTCGTCACCGGGCACAAATTTCCGATTCTCTCGCCCCAGCACCATGACGCAAGCAATCGAAAAGTCAGCGTGGAAATGACTCCATAGCGATTCGGGCTTGCATTGATCAAAAACCATCTATGAGTGACGAGGAGACGAGGACAACCGTCGAACACGAAGAAGGAGGAGCCGACGTCAGACGCGCGGAAGTCAGATCGGTCCTCGACAGAGCCGAGACCGCAGAAGTGGTCGTCGGACTTGCGTAACGCACCTTATTCCCGTGTCCATGCGTCAGCCAAGCCTGATTAGAACGGCAAGGGAACGGGTATCTTTGGACCGAACGGAATCGCATGTTCAGCTGTTTGACGGCGGAAATCATCGAAAACCCCGCCGTGTGATCGAATTCCCCACCGAATGGTGGGAGCAGCTCATGATTCATGCGTTGGGGAGCGGCACTCCCCACTTTTGCGCCGTCAGTTTGTAGGGAATAGTTTCCTACGGACTCATTCGAGTCCCGACCGGCATCCTGAACGTGGAATCTCCGGCAGGGGAAAATGCTCCCTCAAAGACATCGTCTCCCTCAGGGAACCGAGATTCTCTGATGATGTGGGGTTTTCTCAGTACTGTGTGGAGGCGATGGGCACTGCATCGAGGAAACATTTCAGAGCTCAAAACCATTCCGGAGCCGCGGAGTGCGAAATCGCTCTGGATTTCCATTCCAGGGCCGTAGCTGTCGAAAGCGAGTTCTTCCGCAATCATCCATTTCTCCATCATTCCGAGGGAATCCATTAATTTTCCTCCATTAGGAAGGATAAAAATAAAGATGAAATGATCGGAGCCCACTGTCCGCCTGAATTCTCCGACCGACCTTTGACGGATTTTGCTCAACGCGGCTGATGAGTCGTCGTACGCCATCACGGGACGTTCGAAAACGAGCAGAATCAATAATTATATTCTTCCAGGAGTTCTTCTCGGCCGGAAGTTCGCGAGAGCTCACGTCAAGCGAGTCCCATCGTCCCGAAAGGAAAACACCGCCGCTGGATACTCAGAACTTTACTCTCATTGAAGTTCCGTCACGTCACGTTACAATGAGCGCCGGGAAGCGCTTACCTGAGTGCGGATTGGAAATGGGAATTGACCCTCTCCAAGCAGTCGAGGAGCCAGACATTCCGAACGAGAATATGAATAAGGGCCGAGGCGAGGGAATCTCATCGACTCGACGGGTGTATCGGTTTCGAATACCGAGCCCGCCGGAGGGAGATTTATGCATCGCGTTGGACTAAATCCGGTTCGGAGTATCTGGGTAGGAAACATTCATTCCAGACTCTCTGACGGTAGTTCAATGGAGCTCTTCATACTACCTACGGAACCGTCTTCGTCCGCTGCCGAAAACCGCATGGTACATATTCCGCCAGCTGCCGTGTGGACGCCTACGGTGGCGAACGAGCGTTCGTAGGAACGTGAACAGCGCACTCCATGCGACTAATGGTTTCGATACATCTAATGGAATAATGATTCTGGCCCAAAAAAATCTCTCCCATCTGCCGTCACAGAGTTCGACGTCATGCCCGGCCACGTAGAGTCGGAGCGTCGGATTTTTCTGTCAGCCTTTTTTCTCGTCTCAGCTCACCTGTTAGTTCGTCATCTTCGAAAGCTGCGGCAACATTCGTGGACGAAGCAAAACTGTGCCATAGTAGCAGGAGGCACAGGTATCGAATCGCTTTGGTGCTCCGCACTGCCGGCAGCTCCATGTCGATCCTTCGCAGCCCTAGCCCGAGGGCCGCCAGGAACCGAGGTATCCAGGCTGAAGAAAGAGTGTATCCATCGGATCACTAGCCTCACTGGTTTCAGCAAATTCACTGGCGGGAAATTTTCCACATCACTGGATAGAGCACTTCATCGGAGTTCCAACCGCAGCCACCACCACTGCAACAGCATCCACAAGATGGAGAGAATTTTTATTTGTTTCCACCTTCCGATCTCCGGAGCCAACCGCGCGGTCAGCTTGCAACGACACCCATCACTGACTATTGCCTCGTGGCAAGAGTTCCGGTATTTTGCGCAGGCATGACATTGACGGCTTCAAAGTGCAGTAGTCCATTCAGATCTGCGGTGTTCTGGATCTGCGGGCCTTGCCTCGCGGGGAGAGGTTGTGGAAAGGGTTGGACAGCCCTCTCCATGACGGGCACGAGGTCTCCAAGTCGAGACAACTCACACACGAACGTAACTAGACTGACTCGCTGGGGCTGACTAACGCTGTACGTCCCTAACGTCTCTGGACGCGTGGACGTCCTCAAGTCTGGGCCGTGGTCCACTATACTTTTCCAAGAGCCTTCCCTCAGTCGTCCGAGTCCCTCGGACGTCCGAGACCGGGCGAGGTTGGATGCGCGAGACCCGGGCCCGGCTCGAAATCTCGAGTGGGGCTCCGACGATGATTCTCCGGCCGATTTCTCTCAATTTTCTCTCTACACGGCAGATTATTGGGGGATCTCAATCCGAGCTCCGGAAGAGTTTCGGATCCGTTCTCTGATTTCTCCTCGTACCGATCCACTGAAGATTTGTAACTTGTCATTCCTGAATTCTTCACGCCGATCGACCAGGCTTTTTGTGTTCCATGATTCCGGCGGATGTATGTCGAAGTTATCCGAGTACAAATATCGCTAATAGATCGGAAATATCACGGATTCAGAAACTAATGGAACTCGCCACTTGTATAGGATCGGATTCTGGCAAATGGTAGTGGCTCTGCCGCAACGCGTCGACGTACAGCCAGCCCGATGATTCGCCTAATGATACCGCTCTGAGCGAAGCGGCCAGGCTTCGGAGCGGACGAACCGCGGAAACAAACCTCACAAGGATCATGTTTCGATGCATCAATTGGAAAAACCGATAATAAAAACAAATGGGGTCGATGGCATGTTGTTATACGTACTTGGAGCTCGTTCTCAGTCGGTCAGAGATAGGATCCGTTGATCGACGCTCGCCGGAGAAACTTCAATCTTCTTCTGGCTCAATTACATCTGAGACTCGGGCTTCGCGCTGAAGTCATCACAAATTTATGAGACGCATATTACGCGGAATACGAAACACTCTCCGCCGGTCAGCGGGGGCTCCGTCAGGGCCTAAATTGGTAGGTAGCCGGAGCGTCGAACGGACGGACGCACATACGTACGGACCATCTCGCAAGGAGACGGTGAGCGGGCCGAATAGGCCCAACGCCTCGGTTGCTGTGTCGGCCGGTCAGTTTCGGACTGTTTCGCGGGCAAGCGAGAGCGTACAACCCGGAGCGCCGCCTGCAAAGCGCCGATCTCGATTAAGTGCGGACGGCCCGCATCGCTACGTTCGATTGACCGGTTTAAAAAGCATTGCTGAATTCGCCGACTTGCCAACGACCTAACCAGCCAAACAATGACAACTCTACGGACTAGCGAACACGGTTCGTCGGCTCCACCGCTCATCTCAGCCGTTGTTATTTGCACTTGCGCCAGTGACCTGCTCCTCACAGAATGTTCGGCTATACGCGTGATCTACGTCGATGTTGAGTCTATATGTGATGCGGCATGCAGATCGGCGTTGGGGGCTGGCGGAAAAAAGCCCACCGCACGAGAAACTTGCATGCACCGTAGCGTTCATGCAGGTCCGTCGCCTCGATAATAACAACACCTTCCCCAGAATAATAAGAGCCCCGAAGCGATGTGTTCCAGCCGAATAATTCGGTTTGCCATTGGCAGGAAGCATCGTAGATTCGCCTGATGTTTACTTCACGCACAGACGTCACGCACATCGAAACCGACGTCCTCGAGACTATCGAGTTCATTCCATCGCTATCCCTCCCATCCATGTATCGAATTTGGTAAGCGGGGGAGCACTAATTTTTTTTTCCAAGGTCCTAAAAATTCGATATTTTCCATTTGCACAGATGAGCCGACAGTGGAGGAGGGCTTCACGTACGTAGTCTATCCGATGGCGCCGATGCATGTGAGCAGCTCATAATGCAATCAAGGTTAGCATTGAGTAACATTGATCATGCGGAACGTTAACCGACCTCCCAGTGTTGGCATCGCCCCGATCAAGTGATGATTTCGACCGATGTCTGAATTCGATGTGAAGTCAGCCGAGTCCCCGCAGAGGCTATAGCTCTCATGTAAACATTTGCTCGAGCCTCAGTGCAGGGTCGCAATCGTTCACTCGAATACTCGCACCCGCCGGGTCCGAGGAAATTTCTTTCCGTTGCTCCTCTACCCGAAGAAACGTTCGACCGGAAAAATCGATACCGAATGAATGCCCGGGGATTCTCTCGGCAGGCCAGGGATGCCAGTTCCTCGACACAAGGCTCTAATGGTGGATTCGCTCGGCTTGGCTACGGAGCACCGATAGCTCCCCGGCTCGTCTTTCTGGTTCCCTGATACACTCTAGGGTCCGCGTCAGGGCATCCATCAGTGTACCCTGGAGCTCGGGAAGATGTATTTGCGAGGAGCTTGCCTTTCCCCAGGCAAATGTTTCTGACGCAGAAATGGAAAAGGCACCAACGGATTGAATTGCCTGCGTCAAATCGGTAATGACGACTCGACAGGAGTGCGCGAAGCACCCACAGGTATCGACTGACGTGTGCGTCGAGGTGGAAATGGTATACAGTGCGCTCGGGAGCTCAGACCGATATGATCCGTCGTAGCGCACCGGACGCGGAAGGCCAATAGAGTCCGGACATATATTGAATTCAATCGTTGTATGAGTGGGTAACGCTCCGATCTGGGTCAGAAGGTCCCAGAACAGTGATATTGAAATCTATCCTTGCCACAGGCCGACGAGTCGTGAACATCAGAGGAGCAGAAGCCTACAATAAACGGAGCTACCGCATGGAAATCTCTTCGCTTCAACGGCGTGTTGTGACATCGGTCACGCGGCTTACAGCGCGGTAGAGTCGTTGCGTTCCCGCACCGGATGGCCGCAGTGCAGCCGAGCTCTCAGTCCCCGACACTGTCGTTGAAAATACACGAGAGAGCATTTTGGGTGTCAATGTGTTCGTGTCTGTTTCTGTGAAAGTTTGTTGTCGTAAGACTTAACAGAGGCCAGGCCAGAAGACATGACAGCGGACAAATGGTGCAGGAGAGTTGTCGAGCTTGAGATATGTCACGTTGTATCTCGGGTCAGTCGACGAACAGTCTTACCATGTCACAAACGTCATCCGACGATGCCGCCGCTCGCGACCATAGCGACTTCGACAACGATCCGTTGCCTTTGAATGGTTCGATCGACCGAGTGGCAAACTCATCAGTCAAACCACTACAACCTAACCACTAATCTCGGGAGAGGCGGACCCATACGTCGGCTTCGAAGTCTCTTCAAGATCCCGGTCGCGTTCCCGAGGCGGGATCGTGTCACCCACTCGACTCACGGATCGGTCATTCAGAAAACACCGGGTTGAAAACAATATGTACTGTCCGAGAGAAGCCAGCACGAACGACAGAGAACAAAGGAGGACATCGTTAAGAGACCCTGAAGTAGGTACACAGAAAGAATAAGGACGAGAGGGATCGATTCACATCCATCAGGAAGAAACATGAGGATTGGAGTCGAGTCGGGGGAAGTAAACGGAGAATTTCACGGCTGCCCAAGATAACACCAGGACGGCGACGATAATAACGTAAAATATGCTCAAAACGTTCCAACAACAGAGCCGAGATTTGCGTAGGCAGGAGGAACAACCGCGAGACGCGGTACGGTGACAGGCCGAATGGTGCGGTTGTCCTCCAGGAAATTAGCCGGAAGGCGTCTGTTCTCCTGAGGGAAGACAACACCACTTACACCTTTTCCTCCAACCCTCCGTGCCGGCCGAACTGAGTATAAGAGACCTCTTAGCGACTAATGGTGCCCAGATGATCTACTGGCAGATCCTGTCACCGGCTCGAGAGCCCAGAGCGCCACCACTGCTCGGCTTCTGTTGTTATCCGATCGTGGAAGCGCTCGACCGGCCTCCGGTTCCGCTCCGCGCTTTCCACGCACTGACCGAGGGCATGGACCAGCTCCGGGAGACATTCTACCGGAATGAATAACACAGTTATGGAAGAGATTTCTCGAATTTCTGGCATGTCATCGACAAAGCTTCCCACGAGCTGAGCGCCATCGGTCTGTTCAGACTTGGAGGCGAACCCACAAGAAGCAATAGAGGCTGTCCTGCGACTCGAACCACCTTCCACGGCAGGGGTCTGGATAAATATAGGCTCTGTGAATCGCGCAAGTACCTAAGCTCGATGGCTCATCAAAATGATCCCTCGTAATTACAGACGCTTCGGCCGCGATTGCTTCGGAAACGTTTACGACCTGGTTTATGCACACGCGGTTCGAGAGGCCAAAAGCCGGTGGGGAGCTCCAACCCTCTGCGGAAGGTTGAAGACATTAAATTTCGCCGAATCCCGAAGTTGCGGATCAATCGAGCCCATCATCTACATAATTCCACACGTAGCGGGAACACTCGGCACGTTTTTCTTTCCGATCATGCATTTCAGTTGTTGAGGTTGGCATGCCACACAAGCTGATCTAGACGCTGTTGAGTCACGAAGCTCATGAATTTCGTCGCCTCGGATGTTCTTCCTCGATTTCCTCACTCGAACCTGTTGTACCGCGAGAAAGCCGAAAGCACTCCTGGTGAGAGGACCGGCAGGCGATCGAAGGGAATCGTCCGTCTTCGGAATTGGCTAACCGAGGATAAAAATGCGGGAACGCTCGGAAGTTCTCGCACTGAGAGTTGCAA